ATATAACAGCTCCCTAAAGTTTCCATCGCTGTAGGCAGACTAACAGATATGACAAGTTATCCATCATTCAGGAAGTAAGAGAGGAGATATCAGAGAGGAAATACCTGCAGACTAAAATCTACTTTTCAGAGTTGATTTATGAGCAATGAATCAGAACATTAACAGGACACAGCTAATGTTTTATTAAAAAAGAGTTAGAGCTCGACCAAGGGAAAATGTTGGAAATAAAACATACATTTTAAAGACTATTTATGCCATTTTATTTTCAATATATGTTTGGAAACTGTTTAAAGAACACGAGCGAGATGTTTTAAAAACCCATCGTGTGATTATGATACCGTCCTGCTCTTTTGTTCCATGTTTTTTGGTCAGCTGTTTCTGTTTTGAAATGTGCTTTATAATGATATCAGTGTGATTTCTTTTAGATGTACTTGAGAAATGGACTCTTTAATGTTCAGTTTGAATCCTCTCTCTCAGCTATATAATCACCAACTTGTCTTTCTATCCGACTCTAATTGGTCTCGACTCTGATCTTGGATAAAAGTTTGTATGGATTTTCTTGGTCGGAAAACATGGACAGAGGAATGTTGTTGAAGCAAAAGTCAGGAGGAGCGTTTGGAAATATCCTGCTGCATTCAGAAGCCACCAGTACCACAATGTTACAGTAAATTACAATATTAGGTTACAGTCTCGACATCATTTGGAAAATTTGACTCCGCGCTCAATCTGAGACGGAGAGAGAAGAATCTGTGGTTTATTGACCCTGGTCTCTTCTGCGTCACAAAGTCATTTTCATCCCTACTTATTTTACTACATCGATTCAAACATGATACCATACATGGGAAGGTAGAAATGTGTTTATTAGTCTTCTTATGTAAAGTTAAAGACTGACTGTGTAAGGTTTTGGTTTTCTTTTCTACATAACATCTGTTAAAACGCCTTCAGCACAAAAAACTATTCTCCTTGAAAAAGCATCAGGATGACAGAAGAAGTTAGAGAAGTCAACAAATCACAGAGTGTGTTGACGAGATATCAGCATCCTTTAATGTGAGAGAGTTTGCAAAGAAACAGATTGACATACTTAAATTTGGACTTTGCCATGACATTTTGAAGAACATTCAGGGTTCCTAAATGATGAATCAAACGTTTTTCTGTTGCGTAACTTCTTCTCTATAGAAGTTAAATACTGTAGGTGGACAAACACTGGACGCACTATTTTCACTCTCCTCAATGGAAATGTTTTTTCTTCTTCATTATTTTCCTTTAAAGGCTTTATATATGCGATTTTTTGATCCAGCAGATGTCGCCCTTGAGCACCAGCATGAAACCAAAACAACTTGCGCTGCATTGTTGTGTTAGCATGCTAATGCTAGCGATCTTTATTATGCTCGTATCTTCACACTGCATGTAAATTTACCTGAAATGAGCGTGATCTAGAAACACAGTTAAGCAGTGAGTACAGTATGTTATTCTTCTTTTCTCTAGTCCCTCAATTAAACAACTTTTATACACGAGGGGAGGAGTCAGCCGGCCGTCCGGCGATGTAAACAAACTGAAGATAGGACTCTGAAAACTCTGAAAACATCACAGACAGTGGGACTCGGGTGTTACACCCATTGTAGACAGTCATGACTCAGAGTTATTTTCAGAGGATATCTTGACTTCTATTAGTGTGAAAAATCGCATATAAAGCCTTTAAGGTTTATTAATAACACGTTAAAACGATTTGATGACAGTTTGTTCCCAGGTATGAAATGCTGTGAATTTCACCACTCATGAATTCTGATGTTTTAGATGTCTTATGAATGTTATCAAGTGGCTTCCTGAGACTAAAGAGATCCTTGTTGTGGAAGACAAAAAAAATCAGCGCGTCAGTCAGGCTATTGTATTTTCACTTCAAAAATCAAGTGTTGTCTATTTCTTTGTTTATTTTTGACCAAAAAATTTACATTATATTTTATTGAAGTTATTGCTATTTTGCTTTATTTCCTTTGTTAACTGTTTTTGCACCAATACAAATTCTTTGTAAATATACTTGGCAATAAAAAAACGATTCTGATTCTGATTTCTTGTTCACATCCCGTTAATAAATCTTTTCATTCCACATCAGACTCGGACTTTCACTTTAGACTGCCTTTCCACACAATGAACTTTGTCTGTAATCAGGACAGTTGTTTATTTATTAGTTATGTTATCTAACATCAATAAGAAAGACATCATCGGCAGATGGCTGTTAAAGGAAGTTTTTTCATGCCGTTTTAACTGTCGGGTCTTTGTAGATAATACAACAACGAGTAAGTCTTTTACCTGCTCCTTTGTAAAGTGTCTTGAGATAACATTTGTTGTTATGAATTGGCACTTAAAAATAAAGATTGAGTGATTGATTAATTTTGGTGGCAGTAACCATGCTAATGCTAACATCCCGGGTTGGCTAACATAAAATGCATCATTGCAGCAAAACTTGACAATGGGTTGTTTCAAATACCTGTAAAGTAGTGTCAATCCAATGAACTGCAGCTTTAACGTAATGTTTATGGCTAGTTAGCAAAGCATGCTAACAGGCCAATCTAAGATACTAAACCCAGACTTGCTAATCAGCAGCAGGTTAGCATGGGTATCATAATAATAATGATGATGTATGTTTGTACAGAGCATGCCAGCCGACCTTTCTTCCCTTTTAACGACTAAGAAAAGTACAAAGTGTAGAAAGCATGCTCCTTGTATTGGCTTTTCATGCCCTGCAGCATCAAACAACAGCCACAACTACATTTACATGCAGGCTGCCACATTGTGCTGACTGTGAGAAAATGTCATAAGTCAGATAGTAGCAGCTGTAGGCAGCCAGCTCAGTAAAGCTCCCTGAATGCTCAATGGCCATGAGGAGGTTGTGACCTTCCAGTAAATGTGTCACAGTGATAAACGGTGAGTGTGACTGACACTTCATGGCGGGAAACGGTACTAAGTAATTGAAGCCCTCTTGTAATTGGGGTTAGTAAGTCAAAATACTTTAGACCTTTACACATTTTCGTTGAGGTGTAACATGAAATATTCTCTTTAAATGAATGAAGATAAGGGTGGCAAATGTTTCCCCTGTGGTAACATAATCTCAGTGATACAAAGAGGCTGCAGTCGCTGAATGATGTCGATTTATCAAAGAGATAAACAATCTAAACCACAGAAGAAAAAAAAAAGCTTTGCAGGTATTTAACTTTCCTAAGAAACACAAATTGCAAAACATCTAAATCTTACAAGACTGACGGCAAGATGAGTCATTTTGAAACAGTGATGGATATGACCTCGCTGGTCGTCGCTCTAACAGTCAGCGCGGGGGAGAAAGAGAGAGAGAGAAGAGTTATTTGTTCATAAATATGGCTGATAAAATCAGTCTGCTGCTGCTGCTGCGCGGGAACAGGTACACATTTCAGACAAGGCCGGGCACATACCTGGAGGCTGGAATTTTATCAGAGGCATATTTACCACTATTTCATGTCAACCCACAATGACAGATAGGCCAGGAATTCCTCTGATCACCAAGCTGTTTCAAAGTGGAAAACTTTCTTCATTTTCAGTGCTCTGAAAACCATTATGTGCTCCAACGGCCACGGAAATGTAAAGAATGGACGAGGGAATGTTTCCTATTATCTGGATTCCAACGATAATCGTTCAGAGCATTTTTTTTTGCTTTTGTGTAAATGTGATCAACATTGAATTTTCTGTGTTTTTCAGGAACACTATATCCATGTGGTGTTAGAAGAAAGAGTAACAAGTGAGGACCTTGAAAACTCACCTGAACGTCCCCTTTAGTCAGAACAACAATTCAGAAAGTCAGAGGGTAAGAAGGTATAGGACTCGACCGATACAGGTTTTTTTTTGGGGGGGGGGGTCGATACTGATATCAATATTAAGGATAGAAAAATCTGATACCGAAATATCGGCCGATATCTTTCTCATCTCTATTTTCGATCTGTAGTGATAGACAGAAATACACATTCATTGTGTTGATCCCTGAAATGCAGTTATCCAACACTTGTGGAAAAGATAAATAATGTAGACAAGATGGTCACTTTACTGGAAAGTGCAATTAATATATTAAATGACAATTAACCCTTACGTTGCTCTTCTCGGACTTTAACTGCACATCTGCACACCTCCACTTTGCACTTTAATAACTTGGTCGGAATTCACATTTTAGTTTGAGCTCTTGACTGATTTAATTGCAATGTTTTATATTTTTGTTGTGGTGTCTGATTTTTTAAATTTATTTAGATTTTGCCGTGATGCTTTCCTTGTGTTTCTTATCTTCCGTGTGCTCCTGCAGCAAACCACATTTCCCCTCATGTGACAATAAAGAATCTGAATCTGAAGTAACTGCTCATGTACGTGCGTCAACGCTCGACACTCTGCAGAGTGATGATGCTTGTTGTAATCCATATAGAAAACTCTGCTGGTGACAGCCAGAAAGAGAACAGTAAGTGTTATTTAATGATATTCAAATGAAACGCTGTTTGACTGGTAAATAAATCTGCTAATATCGACGCATATCTGCCATAACATTTGCAGATAACGATACTCACCTGGTATGCAAATGTCGGCCGATATCAAAACCGGTCAGGCTCTAGAAATAAGGGTTGGTATATGACCAGCCACAAATTGATTAAATGTTAGGTTGATGGTATTCATGTATTGCACAGCGATGGATCTTGTAGAGTGACTCATTACAGTAAAAGTTAAAAGCATTGACCTTAAATCAGATTAAATGTTGAAGGGTTTTAGGGAAATTCCTGGTGCAGGAATCATTCTGAAACAAGAGCATAAACACTGGAAACAGCAGTCAACATGTTGAAATGCTCTGAGCAATAACACACAACACATACAAGACATCTTCTTAAGATCCATCTTGTTTCTATATTAAGATTTAATCCCCAGAAAAATACCTGAGACAGAAAATCTACTTTTAAAGATCATTAAAAGCAACAGTAGAAACAACTGACAGGAGAAGCTTTCTCAAGAAAAATGCCTTTTATTGCCTAATTGGTTTATGATGAATAATATAACAATAAAAACAAACTATAAAACTGTCAATGTACAACTGTTTACACCGAATGAGCAGAAACAAAAAGGTCCATATAACCGCACAACGTTCCAAACATCATCGTGATACTAAACGTGCGAGTAGTTTCATTTCACACGAGTATAAAGTCCGTTGTAATACGAGCTACACGAGACTGAGTAGAGACAGTCACACTTCCAACATTGAAGATCAAAACAAAGAAGACTTCACACACGCACACACACACACACACACACACGCACACGGTGCTTTAGACCAGACTGCAAACACAACAGGAGTGTTTTTGTTTCTCATGTGGATGGAGGGCGACATCTGGTGCCCATAAGGTGGAAAAACAAGCAACTTTTCAAAAATGTAATTTTAACAGATTCAAAGACATTTTTAAAGAAAAAAAACCACAGCATCGTCAGCACACAAACAAACATAGTCATTCCCTCTGTGGTGATTAATTAGATATTTGGTTTTTAACAATACAAACACAAACAACAACACAACGACGTCACTGTTATTTTTGCTCAGTTAATAAAATGGCAAATCCAACAAAACCATAATTTACATTAAATGTTTGTTTGTATAACGTCTAGTAGATTTAGTCTTCACTCCAATTAGTTATGACCGTGATTCCCAAAATGGGGCGTGGGACCCCTAGGTGGGGGCCAGGAGGTATGTCAGGACGGGCCCGGCAAGGATTAACAAAAACAAAGCTAACAGTTTTTTTTTTTTTTACTGCTAGCAATGCATGGTAACTTTAGCAAGAGGACCTCAAGGTATATTGTAAAGCTGAATATGAATCTCCAGAGGTCACACATGTTACAGTAACACTCCGTTGCTTCCTCTTTGAAAGCCTCTTGTTAGTTTTTTCATTTTGTTGTCACACTGAACTGCTACTCTGCACTTTCTTCTGTCTGCGTTTGAGATCATTTCTAAAAATATAAGACTTTATTAGCAGAGCGAGACTGACAGCGTGTTTAGCGTATGTCCATGTTTGTTGTAAGCGGGCGGCAGCACATGAAATTATTTTCATCTGTCAGAAGGAGGGGGGGGGGGGGTCTCTGTGAACCACTTGGAGTACTGATAACATTTTATAAACTATTCCTCTTTTTGAAAGCAATCAAAGAGGATGAAACAATTCATCTATTTGTGTTCATCTCTCGATTAAATAGATGAAATAAAGACTGAATGAATGAAAAGTCTAATTTCACCTTGCTGTCTTTTTAAGACCAATATCTAAGTCAAACAAAGGTGGTGCCACAGTGGGACTAGGATTGTCATGATACCAGACATTTTGAACTTTGATACTCTTACTGGGATAGAAAAAGACGCCTGACACCTTTTTTAAATACAACATCAAAATAAAAGTGACAGAACACAACGACACAAACTCGCACATTTATGATTTAAATAGTTCTGAAAGGCGTAATGACTAGAAGTAGAGACGGATACAGAAAGGAAATCATCGATTATTACACACTGCTGTTTCAGTGCACTTTGTTTCTTCTTATATTGGTATGTTCAGAAAGTTTCCAGGCTCAACTTGAAAGCGTGTAACTTCAAGCCTAGACCCCGCCCCCCTCTAAAATACGATTTAGCGACTACGTTACCCTGTTTTAGTTTGCTTGCAACAGACACTAAATGGTACCTTGTGTGTCGATATCAGCTGCCTGTGTTTTGACAACCTGAGTATGAGAACGGCCTGATTTTTTCTTCTGGATGTGAAGGACTGCAGGTGTAATAAAGAGTAGAGCCTCAAAGACAGCAGGTAGGATGGAGCGGCTAGGACTGGATTCAAACTAAGTCTGGCACCTCTCTGAAACATCACCGCTCTCAATCAGAAATATTTCTTGGATTCACCGCTTTGTTCTTATTTGTTTATTGGTACTTTTTACTCACTCTCTCACTCGGCATGGCCACAGCTCTATCTCGCTTGTGTCACAGCTTTTGGTTGGAGGAGCAATGTTAGCTTTGTTCTTTAATGACTTCAGTACTATTGTGTGTGAGATTAATGGAAGTTGTGTCAAAAAGAAAGTGGTACTAAAAAAAGTTAACACTTTTGGTCAAACCTAAAGCGGACCAATGTGTCACCTGTTTTTTTAATGCCCGGAACATGTTTTAAGTATCTTTATCTAATGGTTTCAAATATCCCTTTGCCCCATGGAAGGGAGCAGGTGAAAAAGATGGCCAGTACTGTGAGATTACAACCCTGACAGTAAATCCCTGAACTTTCCTCTAACTCTGAAGAATAATCTGCAGGGATTTACCAGAATCCAACTTCTTGAGTCAAAAGTGTTGCCTCTGGGTTTACATGAAGTATACTTTTCTTCACACTTGTGACTCACAGTCCTTCTCTGCTATAATATTACACTACTACAAATAATGTCAACGTCACAGGTAACAATGCCTGCGTGTGGTTGCAGCTTACCAGCTACTTGATCGTTGTGCTCGTATCTGTGAATGCTCTCGTCTGACATGAAATATTTTAAATTAGAAACGGCTCTCTTGATTAAAGGGTCTCACTCAATATTTTGCCTGAGGATCCTTTTCTCCTCCTCTACGAAGTTCTTTTCCGAGGTAGCTTGTCCCATGTCTCTCTTCCTCTTCTCCTTCTGCTGGAAAGTCTCCACGTGGCGCTTCTTTGCAGACAGGTCTCCCTTCTCTGCATCCTCATCTGTGCAGTGTGAGGCATGGTGGTGCGGGGTGGTTGGTATTGGGATTTGGGGGGGGTGGGGAAGGGTGGTGGAAATGGAAAATAATAACTTTTAGTTTACTCATTGGCAGGTTAGAGGCTTCCACGCTTGCACATGGATGATCAGAGCAGTGTGTGGGCTTTTCTCTTTTCAATGCTGAAAAGTTCCAAAATAATAAAATGCATACAGTACGAGTCAAATGTTTGGACACACCTGAAAACCTGTTTGTTCTGTTTCTTTATGTTCTTATCAGGTGATTATTAAAGTTATCATTTTGTTCAATATGTGGGATGTGTACGCATGTTGTATTATATTTCCTATGATGACGGTAAGAACACATCTGCCTATTTGTGCAGGAAGAAATGCAAGTTCAAACCTTTTTGTGCAACAGACTAACTGAGAGCCGGTACAGGATCCACCCCAATCCCTTAAAATGTTCTATTCTAACATTTCCCCTATTTGCATCAAGTGCAGGAAAGAGGTTGGATCTTATTTGCATAGTTTTTGGAGCTGCCATCTGATATCTAAATTCTGGGAAAAGGTCTCACAGGAAATTAACTTCATTTTTGGTTTGAATATACAAATAAATCCTGTTTTGTTTGTATTAAATCTTTCAGATGAGAGGCCCCCTTTGACAAGTATCCAGTAAAAACTTCTCAACAAGCTTCTTCTATTCGTGAGAAGATGCATTCTGTTTCAGTGGATTAAGTCCAGGCCTCCATCTATTAATCAGAGGTATGGGGACATTTTGTAAAGTCTTTCCAATGGAACGCTTAAGTTCAGTGTTGAAGGGAAACGAAAAGGGTTTTCGGTAAGTTGTGGGAACCATTCCTAAACCACCTCCCACATGGCACAGCAGACGTATTAAGCAAGGGGTGCTGCAATGTCGATTGGCGCCCCTCCTGTACCTCTGTGAATACTTCATGCTCTCTGGGTGTTGTAGTTTACAGTCCTGCCTATGCTGTATACTCCCTATCTGAAATCTGTGATATAGATATGTCCATGTATGATACTGTCTTACAAAATATTTTGATGTCTTGTTTCGATTGTCTTTAAATCCCATGTGATCTGCTCATACAAGTCCCTGCTGTCATGTGTGTGTTTCTTTGTCCTGTTTGTTCAAAAGATTTATAAAAAATTTATATTAAAAAAAGAAGAAAAAAAAGTTCTTCAAGCTTGTGCTAAAACTCCTGAGGTATGACAAAGATGAAAAATTACCTGGGTTCATGTCCACTTACATATTATCGATCTAAGCACTGAGATCTTACTAACTCTACTAACCTGAGTCAGAGAGTTGCTCCTCTGTGGGTAAGAAGCGGGCGTTGCCTGTGAAAGCCTGTGGTGCATCCTCCCCGTTGTCCTCATACACATTGGACCACTTGATGGCCATGTCCATGCCCGGGGGAGGTCCCTTCTTCTTCTCTGGCTCTGAAGCGTAGCTCGCAGGCGGAGGTACAGCATTTGTCTTCCAGGGCTTGAACTCTCTGGCAGGCTTCAAGAAACACAGAGAGAAGCAGAAAGAGGAGGCGTAAAGTTAAGGATTGGAAAAGCAAGCTGAGGCTGACATCTAAAAGCCTCACTGACATGAGCAGGAAGCATAAAGGCTTTAAGTCCTTCACAATACAAGAAGCAGCAAATATACCGTAGATAGTAACATATTGGCTTTATTAATTACCACACATTATTCATATCAATTCTGCTTACAAAGTGTAAACACCATGACTTTGCTAATCAGGCTATTACTTCAAATACATCACAACCACGTCCAGTTCTCCAGCACTTTAATACTCTGACTCTTTACATCCCGCAGCAGCACTTTAACTCCAGAGGTCACTTCATCCTGGTTTGATTTGAACAACATCGCACAGCCACTTCTTTACACTTGTATATAATATGTGTCTCTGTCAACTAATGTACAGTTTATGTTGTTGTTTTGGTCAGTGCTTGTGGTTTGGTTTTTGAGTGATGTGTACCAGACGAACTTGCATTTGTTTCTACACAGAACACGAGTCCTTTGAGGCCGTTGAGTTTTTTTTTTTTTTTTTTACCATCATCAAAGGAAAAAGTAACCTAACATTTTACTTGACCCACGTATAGAAAACTGAGTGTTCAGAGTGTTTAAGCTTGATAAATGCATGTGATTCAGATTAGGGCTGGGCGATATGGACCAAAACTCATATCTCGATATTGATCAGCTGAATGGCGATACTCGATATATGTCGATATGTATTTTATTAACAGTGAAAACACATGGAAAAATAAACTACCTGTTTGTGAATTTAAAAAGTAATATTATAAAATAAAAATGTTCCTAAATTACAATAAAAGAGAGAGAGAGGAGGAGGAGCAGGGTTAAGAGGGACAGACAGTCAGTCATCATCAGTGAGATGAGAAAAAGGTGACCTGGCACCTCTGTAACGTTATTTTAATGCAACATGAACTATATCCATATTAACGATATCGTCTTACCCTAGATCTTGTTTGAAAATATATCGATATATCTTAAAAACTCAATATATTTCCCAGCCCTAGCGTGAAGTGATTAAAATGCACCACAGTCAAAATAACATAAGACCACAGGCTGGCGACTCCCTCAGAAGCGCTGTTTGTCAACAGGTGAGGCAGGCAACTGCTTGAGGGCCCCCGGGGCCAGAAAAGGGCCCCCAAGGGCTAGTAAAAGGGCCCCCAAGGGCTGACAAACTTAAAACCACAGCAGTAGTTCAAACTGTGTAAATTGTGCAATGACTCCCTAAATAAAGGAGCCCCATCTGACAGCACTCTCTCTGTACAACAGCTCACCTCATTGCGAGCAGAGAACTGTCATCATGATAATATCTGTCTCTCCTTTACTGTAATCTGTTCTGAACATGTTTGAATTTACAAATGATCCCTGCACTCATGTTCACTTCATTTGTCTGTCTACTCGCCGTTGTATTGAATCGTCTCTGCTGATAACATGTCTACACTCATGCACTTTAACCTATAGCAGGGGTGGGCCACATGCGGCCCCCATCAACCCTCAACGTGGCCCTTAGGTCAATTTTTACATATCAATTAATTGGAAACATGAAGAAAACATGACAAATCTGCCATGAAATCATGAAAACCAGAAATATGTCCATAATAATATTAGATCACTGGTATATGTTGAGTTAAATTTGAGACATAATTGACTGTAATCGTTTTATGTATGCTACAATTTGGCCCCCTGGCAGTGAGAATTAAATGAGTGTGGCCCTTGCTGTGAACGAAGTCGCCCGTCCCTGACCTATAGTATCTATAATCTTTCATATTTTAGACGAGTAATGTTAAGTTAAATCCTGGTTGTATATATTCCCATTCTTAGTTTTGATATTTTTTATTGCTTATTTACTTATTATATTGTGGGTTTTTTTGCTCATAGTGTTTTTTTTTGCTAATATTGTGTTTATTTACTCATATTGTGTTTTTTTTGCTCATAGTGTTTTTTTTGCTCATATTGTGTTTATTTACTCATTGTGTTTTTTTTGCTAATATTGTGTTTTTTTTTGCTAATAGTGTTTTTTTGCTCATATTGTGTTTATTTTGCTCATATTGTGTTTATTTTGCTCATATTGTGTTTTTTGGTTGTATTGTGGTTTTTTTTCCTCATATTGTTTTTATTTACTCATATTGTGTTTATTTACTCATATTGTGTTTTTTTTGCTCAGTGTTTTTTTTTGCTTATATTGTGTTTATTTACTCGTATTGTGTTTATTTACTCATATTGTGTATATTGTGTTTATTTACTCGTATTGTGTATATTGTGTTTATTTACTCATATTGTGTTTATTTACTCATATTGTGTATATTGTGTTTATTTACTCGTATTGTGTATATTTACTCATATTGTGTATATTGTGTTTATTTACTCATATTGTGTATATTGTGTTTATTTACTCATATTGTGTTTATTTACTCATATTGTGTTTATTTACTCATATTGTGTATATTGTGTTTATTTACTCATATTGTGTTTATTTACTCATATTGTGTATATTTACTCATATTGTGTATATTGTGTTTATTTACTCATATTGTGTATATTTACTCATATTGTGTTTATTTACTCATATTGTGTATATTGTGTTTATTTACTCATATTGTGTTTATTACTCATTTTGTGTTTATTTACTCATATTGTGTTTGTGTTTATTTACTCATATTGTGTTTATTTACTCATATTGTGTATATTTACTCATATTGTGTTTATTTACTCATATTGTGTATATTGTGTTTATTTACTCATATTGTGTATATTTACTCATATTGTGTATATTTACTCATATTGTGTTTATTTACTCATATTGTGTATATTGTGTTTATTTACTCATATTGTGTATATTTACTCATATTGTGTTTATTTACTCATATTGTGTGTATTGTGTTTATTTACTCATAGTGTTTATTTACTCGTATTGTGTATATTGTGTTTATTTACTCATATTGTGTTTATTTGCTCATATTGTGTTTATTTACTCATATTGTGTTTATTTACTCATATTGTGTATATTGTGTTTATTTACTCATATTGTGTTTATTTGCTCATATTGTGTTTATTTACTCATATTGTGTTTGTGTTTATTTACTCATATTGTGTTTATTTACTCATATTGTGTATATTTACTCATATTGTGTTTATTTACTCGTATTGTGTATATTGTGTTTATTTACTCATATTGTGTATATTTACTCATATTGTGTATATTGTGTTTATTTACTCATATTGTGTCTATTTACTCATATTGTGTTTATTTACTCATATTGTGTTTATTTACTCGTATTGTGTATATTGTGTTTATTTACTCATATTGTGTTTATTTACTCATATTGTGTTTATTTACTCATATTGTGTATATTGTGTTTATTTACTCATATTGTGTTTATTTACTCATATTGTGTTTATTTACTCGTATTGTGTATATTGTGTTTATTTACTCATATTGTGTTTATTTACTCATATTGTGTTTATTTACTCATATTGTGTATATTGTGTTTATTTACTCATATTGTGTATATTTACTCATATTGTGTATATTTACTCATATTGTGTTTATTTACTCGTATTGTGTATATTGTGTTTATTTACTCATATTGTGTATATTTACTCATATTGTGTTTATTTACTCATATTGTGTATATTGTGTTTATTTACTCATATTGTGTATATTTACTCATATTGTGTTTATTTACTCATATTGTGTATATTGTGTTTATTTACTCATATTGTGTTTATTTACTCGTATTGTGTATATTGTGTTTATTTACTCATATTGTGTTTATTTACTCATATTGTGTTTATTTACTCATATTGTGTATATTGTGTTTATTTACTCATATTGTGTTTATTTGCTCATATTGTGTTTATTTACTCATATTGTGTATATTTACTCATATTGTGTTTATTTACTCATATTGTGTATATTTACTCATATTGTGTATATTTACTCATATTGTGTATATTAACTCATATTGTGTGTATTGTGTTTATTTACTCATATTGTGTTTATTTACTCATTGTGTATATTTACTCATATTGTGTTTATTTACTCATATTGTGTATATTGTGTATATTTACTCATATTGTGTTTATTTACTCATATTGTGTATATTGTGTATATTTACTCATATTGTGTTTATTTACTCATATTGTGTTTATTTACTCATATTGTGTGTTTGGATAACCTGCTGCTGTAAACACAAAATTTCCCAGTTTGGGATCAATGAAGTAATTCTATTCTATCTTCTGTGTGGGAGTGAAAACAGCACAATAGTCGTTGGAGGGGCCCATTATCCATGTTTGCCAAGGGCCCCAACAGACTCTACAGTCGCCACTGTACCTCTCTTACGTCACTGTGTACCTATCGTGTGTTTACCTCTTCCGGAGCTTTGACTGTCAGGTTGTCCCAGTCCAGCTCCTTGTTCAGCGGGTTGTAGAGGAAGGCGGGCTTGGACACGGAGCCGAACAGCTCCTCTGGTCTGGGTAAAGGGGCCCCGCTGGCTGCTCGTTTGGTCCCGTGTTTGGAGGACTGAGCTCCGCTTCCCGACGCGTCCGTCCCCGCTTTCTTCCTCCGACTTTCTGCCTCCTCCTCGGAGTCGCTGCTGTCGCTCAAATCATCGTAGCTGGAAAAGAAACCGAGCGAGCCTCCTGTCTTCTTCTCGTCTGTCATTCTGAAGCGTTTATCCTCACCTGCAATTATTTTTAAAACGTTTAGAGTTAAAGCCGAGAACCCAAATGGACAGGTAACTCTAAGCTCTACTCCATTTTGAATAAGCCTCCAAAAAAGTCGTATGACGTGGTAGTGTCGTGACGACTGTCGTAAAGCGGGTTCCATTTAACCCTTGAGTAACCTCAAACAAGCTGCCTGGATTTTTATTTTAGAGTTTGTTGTTAAAGGTGCGGCGGAGGATTAGGGCCACGTTAAAAAATAAATAATTTTATTGTCAGAGAATTGAAATGAAAGAATGAAAGGCTATTTTATTGTATTGTTACATCCCTCCTGCAGGGAAATAAAAAAAACTGAAGTCATTCTGGAAAGCCAAAGCAATTATTAATAAGACAATTTACAACACTTTTATACGACAGAGGATTAGGGCCATGTTACATTTTTTTTTCGAGATTAAATTCGTATATTTATATTTATTCTCGTAAATTTTTTAGTTTAATCTCGAAATAAAAAAATAAAAAATAAATCGTACATTATCCGGATTAAAGTCGTAAATCCTCGTAAATTTACGACTTTAATCTCAAAATTAAAATAAATTAAAATAAAAATGTAACATGGCCCTAATCCTCTGTCGTATAAAAGTGTCGTAAATTGTCTTATTAATAATTGTTTTGGCTCCCTTCCCAGAATGACTTCATTTTTTTTATTTCCCTGCAGGAGGGATGTAACAATACAATAAAATAGCCTTTCATTCTTTTATTTCAATTCTCTGACAATAAAATCATAAAATAATGGTTTTTTTCCTTATTTCAGATTATAAATAATTATAATAGTCAGAAAATAATAATTTATAATAATACATAAAATAGCCTTAGCCTTGAGTTTAGTCAATCATAAAGAAAAACACGTTTTTTTTTTGTTTGTTTTTTTACAAAAATACATTTCTTGATTTCGCAAATGAATAAGCGGATCTCAAATGTTGTGAAGTTTATCAAACATAATGACGTAGTATCTCAAACCATTAAAAAAAAACTTCGAAAAGGATATTTAACATTTAAGATGCATCAGTCTCTTGATTTGCCTTTTTCCCCGCACATTGTTGTGTGATAGCCTACATAATAAGAAACAAAGTCAATATGTTGATACGATTAGTCAATGTGAGGAAGGTTCTCGTATTTAATTGTGAGGCTGTCGTTTTAAATATAGACTCTTCTTTTTAAGTTTTCAAAACGTTTGTTAATATTATGAGATACTACCATGGGATTTTCTATTTAGGGTGCTAACAGCTGCTTGGTGATTGTTAATAGTAGAAAAAATAGGATATTTATTATGAAGGTGAGATTATGTCCAGTGGGGGAATCAAGTGTTGTAGCAGTAAAAAGACAAGAAGAAGAGCATGCATATGAGTGCAAATGAAATAAGATAGAACCCTAGACTGTAAATATTAGAACAAGAAGAATAATGGGCAGTACATGGTGTGACAACGGTGTCTCTAACTCAGTGTTTTTCAACCTCCTGATGAAAATGGGAGCAATGTTTTGAATGGAGGCACGGAGGAGTATTACTCTACCAGTCACTACATTGCTTGCTCCGGACGCTGAACAATTACATGTAGTCACTAAATAATATTTTTTTAGGACCTATTAAGTGAAATTGGATAATTCCACAATGACACACCTGACTTTCTCTCATGGCACGGTAGTGTGCTGTGACACAATGGTTAAAAATAACTGCCACACAAGTTTGCACGATACTTGGTTGTGAGAGGAGTGTAGCCTAAACCGCCTCTTGATGTCACTGTTACACTTTTAAAGTTTTTCAAGTTGCAAAGGGAAAAAAAGGTTTTCATGAACCTAACCATGTCTGCTCATTCATCAGCAACGTCATTAACATTTTGTGACCACTAGAGTGCAGTACAGTCACAAAGATGGACGACTAGCTGCCCCCCCCCCCAATAAGACAGTAAGGATCTGAAAAACTTTGCATTGTGCAGCATCATCCACTTTTCTTTCATAAAACTTTATGCTTCATTTTCACTGTGCTGCTCAAAATATGCATATCCAGTAAATATTCTCTTTTTTTTTTAAACCAAATAAATGTGTGAGAAGCTCACAACAATTCAAAGATAAAAAACCAAGAACCTTAAGCCCCCTCCCCTCCTGCCACCTCACTCCTGATAATGACGTGCAGTTCAGAGCACCTTAACATTGAAAGTTGGTCTTGTTGTTTTTAGATCAGACAGACTTGGAGGGGCCGATCTTTGCACTCATGCACTCATGCACTCATGCACACGTCACACACCCACTGAAAAGCACCGGACAGACAAGGAAACATAAATCTACAGGATATACTGCATGCACTCTCTTTCTCTCTCTCTCTCTCTCTCTCCCCTCCCCTCCTCCTCCTCTCTCTCCCTCCATGCTCAATAATTACAATGCAGCAGCTTCTAATGAGATGTTTTGCATTTTTAGGTGAACTGGAGGTCAGATCTGGGCAGAGATTTACTGGAAGTCCAGTCCTAACAGATCCTAGAAGTTCAAGTGCAGGAACATATTTGCATGTACTTTTCCTGTACAGTACTTCAGGTGATGAAACATCCACCTTGTTGCTGCTGTAGTCGTCTTTAGTGTTGAAGCAGTATCAGCAGCAGTAGCAGGTGTAAGGGGAAGTATCAGGACTCACTTTTGTTGTAGAGCCTTTCCTGTTTCTGCATTTAATCATATCCTCTTCAATGCTTTTTATTTCTTTTTAAATATTTAGCCTTTTTGGACTGAACTGAGTACTGTAGACATCTGTTCTCCTTTAAAGTCTGATGATTTTATGACTTGTCTGTTTTTGATTTTGCTGCCTTCGTGAAACACTTTTTAAACTTGGATTTAAGTGTTCTATAAATAAAGGAAATTGTTTTTATTCCAAAGTGATACAGACTGGGATTAATTACTTATATATATTACCAGAATAAAAAAAAGGATAACAGGACAAAGGGCCCATTTCTCTTGGCTGCATCTTTACAAATATCCTCTTAAAAAGCCTTAACCACTGTAAAGACATATTTCATGCCATACCACCCCTCTATTTGTTTCCAGTAGAGCTTTTACTCTGATCACTATGTTTGTTGGCTGCTAATGGATGCTGTCAAGTTTTGAGCACACCAAGGGCTGACAGGTGATCCACACAGATCCTCTTCTTTTGACAGGGAGACCTTCACTGGACCCAGGAGGGGAGGGGCACACTTTTCAGCTTTAATGAAAATGAAAGAATTTTGAACTTGTTACTCAGAAATGTTTTCTTTCCTCTCCAAAATGAAAAATGAGAAATTGTATCTCTAGAGGTTGACTGATATTCTGCTTTCTGTCAGAGGTAATGAAAATGTCTGAAAAAACCAAACTGACAGCAAATTCTTAGAGCCAATCTTGCAGACGTTGTATGCTGGCTTTTTCCCTGGTTTAACATTCAAGGATAATCTGTTTTAACACAGATAATTCCCAAGTTTTTATTTGTTCATGAATTACTAAATCTGGCAGGTTGTTACCTCGATTAGGGAGCATATGTTATAAGTGCTGTTTGCCTGCATGATTACTGAAAATCTACTGAACATTTTCAAAAGAAACCTGTCAAAATGCACCTTAAACAATTTGGACCAGACCAGACCTGAATGTGATTCATGTACCTAAAAGGAAATACGTACCAGGTCTGGATCACAAACTCACAAACAAGCTCTTGACCAAATTATAACATACATGTCTAAATTAAAACAGAACCAACCCAACAATAATAATAATTTAAAAAAAAATCCATCCTTGTACATTTAAAAGAAACACAATATGTGTGGAGGATAACAATTCAGTTCACAGGTTCCGTTTTATCATAGAAACCAACCAACTTTAGTTCTGCAACCTTTAATAGCAGATCAGATCAAATAGCACATCTAAACATTTACAAATGTTTTCACCTGAAATACTGTGCTGGCTTGCTGGTAAAAACATTTCCACCCAAGAATGTGCAAAAAACAATTCACCATTTATCGGTCACTTTACTCAGCATTTTCAGATGCAATAAACTTGTAAAAATCAATAATTTACAAATGTAATGAGGTGATCTTACAATGTTAAAAAACATTTTAGAAAAGATATGAGACAATGTCCAAATATTTCTTGGCAGCATTCAGAAAACTCCAGACGTCACAGCTTTACGAAGAAGTCTTTTTCTCAGTCCACAGACCCCTGAAGGGGGCAGTGGTCACCACCTATAGTCATTAGATTCTTCTGTACGACTTTAAACGTATACTGCGCTTCCTTTTGGCAGTCAATGTGAATAGCATACAGCAGACCCATGAGCATAGCTACCATATGCAATTAGTCCTTCATGCCATGCTGAATGATCTTCTATCTTCAGGAGGATGATGACGTTTGTATCCTTCGTTAGGCCGTCCTCAGTGTCTGTAGATTTACAAAAGACAGAAAAAATAGATAAAGTTGTGAAATGTTTGTAATACTCTCTGAGAAAGAACATTTTTAGCCGGCATAGCCAAGTTGGCCTCGGCATGCATGACTAATCAATCCAAAAGCATTATCTTTACATAGACAATACAGGTAGATCACAGATGAACAACTTCCGACTTTTTAAAAGATTTAACCAGAAACTTGTTTTTAAAGTGTTTGAACTCTGCAGACTTGCTCTGTTTTTAACACTTATCTCTTTTAAACATTTTTGACCTCAGCTATTTCAATGAAATTACACCTTTCACAAACTTACCTCTGTTTGTCCTTTTGTTCAGTTTCCCATGTGGTCCCACCGACTCACTGCATGATGGACCCTCATCAGGCCAAGATCTGCTCGCTCACTCCGTCAGCGATGGCTTCGTTCCAGGTACAGTGTATACATAGCTAAACACTTTAAATTCCCTTTCAACGCCTGAACATTTAATATCATATTAACATTTAGAAACAAAAAGTGACACATTAATGGGCTCACGTTTTTTGGACAGTAACTCACAGTATTGTTATCAAACCTTTAAAGCAAAGGAGGCCAAGCATTTGCTGTTCAGGCTCCACGGCTATGTAACGACCTTCCTGAGGATCTCAGACTTGCAACATCAGTGTCTTTTAATTCCCCTTGAAAGACTTATTTTTATGA